TGCTGATGCTGGGGATGATGCTAACTGCTGGTGATGCTGAGGATGCGCAGTGATGATTATCATCAGGATGATGGCTGTGGCTGCCACAGCCTTCGGGCTGTGGCGATGGTACAGTCTTCGGGGTGTATCTGCCACAGCTTTCGGGCTGTGGCTGCCACAGCCTTTGGGCTGTGGCTTTGGTACAGTCTTCGGGCTGTATCTGCCACAGCTTTCCGGCTGTGGCTGCCACAGCCTTCGGGCTGTGGCGTTGGTACAGTCTTCGGGCTGTATCTGCCACAGCTTTCGGGCTGTGGCTGCCGCAGCCTTCGGGCTGTGGCGTTGGTACAGTCTTCGGGCTGTATCTGCCACAGCTTTCGGGCTGTGGCTGCCACAGCCTTCGGGCTGTGGCTTTGGTACAGTCTTCGGGCTGTATCTGCCACAGCTTTCGGGCTGTGGCTGCCACAGCCTTCGGGCTGTGGCTTTGGTACATTCTTCGGGCTGTATCTGCCACAGCTTTCGGGCTGTGGCTGCCACAGCCTTCGGGCTGTGGCTTTGGTACAGTCTTCGGGCTGTATCTGCCACAGCTTTCGAGCTGTGGCTGCCACAGCCTTCGGGCTGTGGCTTTGGTACTGTCTTCGGGCTGTATCTGCCACAGCTTTCGGGCTGTGGCTGCCACAGCCTTCGGGCTGTGGCGATGGTACAGTCTTCGGGCTGTATCTGCCACAGCTTTCGGGCTGTGGCTTTGGTACAGTCTTCGGGCTGTATCTGCCACAGCTTTTGGGCTGTGGCTGCCACAGCCTTCGGGCTGTGGCTTTGGTACAGTCTCCGGGCTGTATCTGCCACAGCTTTCGGGCTGTGGCTGCCACAGCCTTCGGGCTGTGGCTGCACCATTGTCATGATTGTCACGATAACTGCTGCTGATGCTGGGGATGTGATGGACGTCAAAATGACGATGATGATGATGATGATGATGATGATGATGAACATGATGATGATGATGAACATGATGATGAGGATGAAAATGATGATGAACATGATGACGAAAATGATGATGATGCACATGATGATGATGATGAACATGATGATGATGATGATGAACATGATGATAATGATGATGATGAAAATGATAATGATGATGACGATGATGAATAATCATCACTACGCATCCTCATGATGAACATGACAAGCAAGCATGATCATGTTCTTCATCATGTTCGTCCTGTTAGACCCGACTGGAAATGCAGAAGATGCGTTGTCATGATTGTCATGACGACTGCTCCTGATGATGATGAAAACGAAAATGATGATGAACATGATGATGAAAATGATGATGCTGATGATGGAGTAGTGGTGTTTTGACCAAACGGGTACAAATTTAAGCAGCGAGTATGTCTGACCCGACTGGAAATGCAGAGGTCATATGATGCTAACTGCTGGTGATGCTGAGGATGCGCAGTGATGATTATCATCAGGATGATGATGACGCTGAACATAATGAGGAACATGATGATGAAAATGATGATGGTGATGATGATGATGATGATGATGAACATGATGAAAATGATTATGATGGACATGATGATGAAAATAATGAGGTCTGCCACAGCTTTCGGGCTGTGGCTGCCACAGCCTTCGGGCTGTGGCTTTGGTACAGTCTTCGGGCTGTATCTGCCACAGCTTTCGGGCTGTGGCTGCCACAGCCTTCGGGCTGTGGCTTTGGTAAAGTCTTCGGGCTGTATCTGCCACAGCTTTCGGGCTGTGGCTGCCACAGCCTTCGGGTGGCATCTCTGCTTCACAAAGGTCATGATTGATAATGATGACTTTTACGCACCCTCTGCATCTCCAATCTCATCATCACCGTTATCATCATCGATGATAACCATCATCGTGCATCCTCATCGATGATAACCATCATCGTGCGTCCTCTGCATCACCAACAGTCATCATGATAATGATGACTACGCACCCTCTGCATCTCCAATCGGGTCTAGCGGGACTTTTGAATCGTATATAAAAAACATAAAGATAAGGATCCTCGTCATAGCCGTCGCTCATCATCGTCATCATCACGGTCATCATCATCGATGATAACCATCATCGTGCATCCTCTGCATCACCAACAGTCATGATGATAATGAAACAGTCATGATGATAATGATGACTACGCACCCTCTGCATCTCCAATCTCATCATCACCGTTATCATCACCGATGATAACCATCATCGTGCATCCTCTGC